AGACAAATATGTTAGTCTTTAAAGAAGGATTAGATGAACCAACTAGGCACTAGAATTTTTAGATTTTAGAGAAAAAAAGTACATGCTAGCAAACATATAAATCAGAGGTGTATGGTTTCGATCTATCTTTTCAAGCTATTTAAAATGGCAGCTTAGTAGAACTTGAATTAAATACCAAAATAATAAGAATATGTTGTGAAGTTAGTATCAGAGTTAGGGTGAACTCTACAAAGACATAGTGATTTAATGGTACATTCTAACTACTAGTATTGGTCTTGGCCATAGCAACATCAAGTTAGCTATAAGAATAGAATATAGAAGATTCTAAAAGGTTTAGTACAAGGTTAAAGGTTTTAAAAAACTGCTTTAAAGACTTAGTAATCATGACATATTTTATCAGTATTAGTCAGGATTATTGGTAGACAGAGGTAGATAGGTGGATACAGAAACTAGAGTAGTTAAATAGAGAACCTACAAGCAAGTTTCAGGTATAACAGCTAGTGTAGAACCTTTAGGCAAACTATTTAAATTAAACAATAACTAAAGTTATATAAGTAACTAGTTGTACACTCTTTTCATAGTTGCTTTCTGTGGTTGTAATGCAACTATTAGTCAAATATACTATCAATAAAATTCTGGATTACAAGTACTTACTTTAATATTTAAAAAAAAAATAATATATAAAGTAGTATTGTTCAATAGCATAAATAATATTCTGCAAAATCAAGTCAAAGTTTGAATTTGCAGAGTACTAGGTATAAACTATATATCATATTAAATAATTGTAAAAACAGTAATAATTAAATAAGAGATATAGTAACCTAGTAAAATAGATAGATTGTCAACTGCCAAGTGGCAGGTCTAGAGTTCAAATTTCAATGATAGTGAAAATTTGCAATTCTTTCTGTGTTATAATTAATTGTCTTTTGTGATAAGACACCTGTAACTCATGTCATATCAGTATAACTGAAAGATCTAGGCATTTATACAATGTTATATAAAGGAACACAAACTGATACTGGGCAGTATAAACTCAAAATAAGTCCTTAGGTTATGTAAATTACAAGAACTAGATAGAAAGACAAAAGCCTACTTGGAAGACCTGAGTAAAGAAATAACCTAAATCTTTGATAGTGCTATTATAAAGACTAAACCTATAAAATAGAGCTAGAACTTGTAAAACTAAACAAAGAGCCAGCCTTTGAAGAGGGGCTGAATGGAACCAACTAGGCTGCTAGAATCTGTTCTGGAAAAAAAGATTACATGCTAGTAAACATGTAAATTAGAGGTGTATAGTTATGATCTGCCTTTCTGGGCTATTTGGTTTAGAAGCTTAGTAGAACTTAAATTAAATACCAAAGTAGTAGAGATATGTTGTGAAGTTAGTACTGAAATTGAAATAAACTTTACAAGAGCATAGCAGTTTAATAGTATACTCTGACTATCAGTATTAGTCTTGACCATAGCTATACTAGATTAGCTGTAATAATAGAATACAGAAGATTCTGAAAGGTTTAGTACAAGGTCAAAGGTTTCTCATATAAGTAAACTGCTTTAAAGATTTTGTGATTATGATATATTTTCACTGGCATCAGCTGGAATCATTGGTAAGCAGAGGGAGATAGGTAGATACAGAAACTAGAGTAGTTAAATAGAGAACCTACAGGCAGGTTTCAGGTATAACAACTAGTATAAAATCTTTGAGCAAACTACTTAAATTAAACAATGACTAAAGTTGTACAAGTGACTAGTTGTACACTCTTTCTATAATTGCTCTCTGTAGTTGTAATGCAACTATTAGTTAAATATACTATCAATAAAATTCTGGATTGCAAGTACTCACTTTAATATTTAAAAAAAATATATAATAATTAAATAAAATGTAATTATTATTTAAAAATTTAATAAAAAATAAAACTTTTACTAATAGCTTTGCTAATAATAAGCTGTTTATATATAAAATTTTTTAATCAATTTAATTGATTAATATCATATGCTGTAAAATCTAGAATTTACTGATTAACATCTTTATACTATAAAAGATATAATTTTCAATGTCTATTTTTAGTAAATTTTATAATTGAATTGGTCAATAATAAATAAAGATAAAATGTAGAATTTATAGAAATATGATGATTCTCAAAATTAAATATGATTATCTTATATATTTTAAACTGCTAAAAATTTGTAAAATATTATTTTTAAACTAACCAATATTTTATACTGACTTTCTATATTTAAATCAAAACTTTTTTCTATATGATTTTATTAAATATTTTAAGTAAATAAAAATATAGTAGAAATAATAAAACAGACTTATAATAGTAATCATCCAATAGTAGTATAACAAAAGTTATATAATTTTTTTTTTGTTTATTTCTTGTATTGTATCCTTTATTATTTATCTTTATAAAATTATATTTTTTTATATTATATTAATTAGTTTTTTTGTTTTTGTTTACTTTTCTACAAGAAAATTAGCAATATTGTGTTATAGCACAGTAGTCAGATATGATTCTTAGCATATTTTAATTTCTTATAAAGTTGAATAGTTAGTATAAGCAGATCACTTGTAAAGCTTATAAAAGTATTTACAAGATGCTAAACTAAAGGTTATAAATTTGTATTGTATAGTATAAAAACTCATAATAAAGATAACTACCAAGACTGCTTAAATAAAAAAAAAATTTTTAATACTGGTTTACATCTTTTTATATAATTAAAATTATATAGATGTTTTATAATCTATTAGTTATCATAAAAATAAAAGAACTCTTCCTAATAATCCTCTGCACCAATTTTTCTATACATACTGACTTATAAAAATTATATAATTAGTATATTTATATACAACAAAACTTTACTATATAGCATCTGGGTTCAAGAGTTTTAGATTGCATGTGGGCTATATGAAAAAAAGTTAAAAAAGACAGCTCCTTGTAGGTTTGGCTCTTCAGTAGAAGTCTATGAAGTTATTGAAAAAGTAACTTTGGCTACAACCAAAAAAGTTTTTGTTAAGCTATATCTGAGCAATAGTAAAAATAAAAGCCTAGTTGGATATGCTATTCTATATAATATAAACTTCTATGCTCATTATAGTTGGTACTTTAAAAATTTCTTTCTTACTTTTTTACAAGAAATTTTTATCAAAAAGTAGGCAATCTAGCTTATTCCCATCAAAATTAGCATTGTTGATTTTTTTAAATCAGGATTGTTTATCAGTTCTATTCAAAAAGGATCCATAGTGCAGATAAAGCACAAGTACATATGTTTTAGAAAAAACACAACAATAAGACAAGATTGGAGATTTTCAGCAAAAGATGAAATGATTGATTAAAAATATGACAAGTGTCAAAATATAAGATCTGGTAAAAAGTATAATAAGTCATATATGAAGATGGATCCAGTGACAAGAAGTCAGTGCATCCAGCATATAGAAATTTCTCTGCCAGTTCAGTTTTAGTTGAATTGTTTTCTTTAGGATATAAACTTTAGTATTAAATATATTAATTAGATAGAGTTAAAGTAGAGATTACTATATTTAATAATATATAATTTTTAATAGGCTAATACAGTCTTTATAATTAGTGACCATTTGTTTGGCCTTCATTAGCAATTCTTTTTTCTTTTATTAGTGATCATTTGTTTGGCCTTCATTAGCAATTCTCTTTTCTTTTATTTTTTGATATTTGTTTTTTTATGTTTTTTTTCTAGATATTTTTTTTTTAGTGCATTCCCTCTTAACAAGAAAAATTTTTTTTAGTTTTTTACTTTCCTACAAAAAAATGATATCAGATTGGTGCTGTTTAATTGTAGAACAGCAGACAGATGAGCTTGATCTAAACTTTAGCAAGTTTGGTATAGCAGCTCACTTGTAAGTATCAATTAGGGTAATCATGTAATAATGGCATGTAGCAGCAGAGAGTGTGGACAGACTTTTTTGTGTGTTTTTACACCTTCTCTTCTATGAGTTTTTTTTGTCAGTCCATTAAAATTAATACTAATTTTTTGGTGTTTTTATATGAAGTGAACATAAATCTCTCATTAATCACATCGTTATTCATATGAAAACTTCTTTTTCTGACTTTGAGTGATGAAGTCATGAGAAGGTGGGCTTAAAAAATAGTGACTAATTGTGGTATGTTTTTACACCCTTCAGTCTGCAAGTTTTTAAAGCTAAAAATCATTAAAATCGATACTAATTTTTTGGTGTATTTTTATATCTTCTGTTTACAAGTTTTTTCTGACTTTAAGCATATATGCGAGAAGGTAGGATTAAGTTTCATTCTGGCTTTGAACAGTATTTGCAAGAAGGCAGAGCTAGTGAAAATAAAATTGCAAGACATAAAATCCACCAGCATGATCTTTACATGCTTTGAGTATAGAACTAGTAGGCTTACTACAAACTTTGCAGAAGACGTGTTTTTTAGATCTCCAATGTTCATGGCATCCTTGAGGATGACGACAACCATGACCACAAACTTTACCAGAGTTATGCAAATAATCACAAGTAAATTTTCTAGACATGAGTAAAAGAAATATTTTTTATTTAAACAAAAAATATGAATAAAGTAATATATAATAAAAAATACAAATATTCAAAATGATAGATTATAAAGATATCGAATTAGCTTTAATTAAAGTAATTAAAGTAGCATATAGTCAAGGTACCAAAAAATATGATAAATTAGGGGCATCATATGTAAACTATCTTAAAACTTTACAGTGAAAAAGAGATCCAGAAAATCATCTTAGATATGTAGCAAAGCAATACGCTCCAAATGAGAAAACCTATAATGAAAGAATAGCAGATTTTAAAGATTGGTATAATGAAGAGATATATACTAGTTTAGAAAAGTTATATAAATTATATTTAGAAATAGCTAATCAAAAAGAAAAAGTAAAAAAGCAAACAAAATTACAAGTAGATGAAATTCTTCAAAAAATATATAGTTTGGAAATTTAAAAATTAATATGTATTAAAGATACTAACTTCACTATTAATTTTGTAATACCCATTTGGATGAATATTCGATCTTATCAACTTTTATTAATTGTTCATGAACAAATGATCTTTCAGGTCCATTGCTATTTTCATCTGTAAGCCAGTACAATACTAGTTGATTTTTTTGTATTAAAGATTCTTTAATATAATAAACTTTTGAAGGCTAATTACAATCAGTCACACGATGTTTTCCACCTTCTAACTCACCTGGTTCAAGTAAGTATCTTACTGAAATATTATAAGATAATCAAGGTTCATCAAATCCAACAGCACCATTGCGAGGTAAAGAAGATATAGCATTAACCTGTTTCTTTCATATAGCTTCTACAGGAGTCATTTTAAGAAGTTGAGTTACAGAATTATTAAGTTCTTTAACAATAATTGAAAGATTTTTCATTCAAGTCCTAGATCTTTTAGATATTAGCAATAGCAAATCTGATGCATCTTGTATTTGAAATAGTCTTTCTGCTAAGGTTCGGTTATATCTTTCAACAATATCCATAATACATTTAGAATTAGCTTTTTGAATTTTTATACAATGTTTTATCATTAATCTTTCACAATCCTTTCTGAATACAGAACCTTTATCTGTTAACAATAATTTAAGATAAGTAAGTGGACATGTTGAATCATTATAGATTTTTTTAAATGCCTTAGCAATAGTATTAGAAGTTAAAATATTTTTTAAATTAATATCTTTAGCTTTTAACTAGCTTACATCGATATTAGAAATAATACCTCCAATTGGAACTGATGCTTTATATCTAGAAGCAATATCTACTACATTAAGACAAAACATATAGGTTATTTTTCTAATTTTATTATAAGGCATATAGAGAATATCAGCCTGATGACATTCATTAGGAATTTGAATTGTATTAAATGAAACTCTAGGAATATACCTTGGAGGTGGCTTGTGAACTTGAAAAATGGCTTGCTTATTTAACCAATTACATATCTCAGCTAATAAAAAATTATATTCATCTCTTCTACTCACATCTTGTATTTTTTCAGCTGTCTGATAATAACCTTCAGGCCTATAATAAATTTTTTGCAAAGTAATCTTCCTATCCAAATCACAGGCTCTTTGTGAGTCAATATAAATTACAGGTTTCTTCATTCTTTTGTTTTATTATAGTAATAAAAAAGATGGAAGAGTTACAACAATTTAACCAAGAACTCTATGAGGTAGTATCGCAATTAGCAGAATCAAATAGGAATTTTAAACAATGTCTATATACCTTAGAAAGAGTTATAGGTATACGGAAAAAGAAAATACAATTTCTTGAAGAAGAGTTAAATAATGCTATCAAACTTTCTATACAAGAGAAAGAAGAATTAATAGAAAAAATTTCAAAATTAAAAAAAAATTGTTTATCAACTTAAGGAAGAAAATAAAAGGAAAGACAAAGAAATTTCTAATAAAAATAAATTAATATCAGAATTCGATGAACGTAAAACAAAATTAAAAACCCAAATACAAAAGATATCTAAATCGGCTGAAAATATGCCTAAAGCACAAGATTATACAACCAGATTAGTAGATGAAAATGAATGCCTTAAATAAGAAATAAATACAATAAGGGTTAATCAAATAAATAGGATTAATAAAATAAATCAGCAAAAAAATCGTATTACAGATCTGCTTTGTCAAAATTTTGCATTAGCATTATTA